CCTCCCCCCGCGCGGAACACGAAGGTGAATAGAGGTCAAATATATATATATAAACAAAAAGAGGCAATTCATAGCCTCAAAGCCTCGCTTGAGATAAAGAATGACTAAAGTTAGCTAGTGTATCTGCTGTAAAATTGGCTTCATAGAATATATGCTTAAACTTAACTTCATTACAAGAATTGCAAAGATTAAGAATTTCATGCATCAACAACCGAATTGACCAGGGAGTTTGTGCCCTTTGATGAATACAATCAATGATTACTTTTAGGGGTGATATTTTATCCTGGAAACCGACTCAACCGACTGACAAAAAATCATCCTTAATTTGATGGAGGAAGAAAACCAATCGATAATACCAGTTTTTGGACTAACCGACACCTAGCGGTTGTCGAGGCGGTTTCATAAACCCAAAGTCGACGATATACCGAATCGACTAACATATATTTAACTAATGAATGTACATATTTTTGTTTATGTATTAATCATAGCCGGATGAGAGTGTATGAATATGTATACTCTAAATTTGATGGATCTATTTATATTTTCATTTTGGGTTTGATTAAGATGGTGGCATCAATATATGAATATGAATTTTTGTGTAATTTATATATCAAAATTAACTTTAAAAGTCCTTTGGATTACAGTATGTTTGGAATTTTTTGCTGGTCTCCAGTAGCTTGTTGGAATTGTATTCAAAGCCAAAAATTCATCTGGGTTCGAGACTAGCAGAGAGAGAGAATAAGAGAGAAGTTAAAAAAAATTAATTTTTAATTCAACAGTGAATCATGTGCCTAATATGTGACTTTTTTAACATATATTTTGATGGAAATTGTCAAAAACTAACGGTGGGGGGTAAATTGCCGATAAAATTTAGTATGAGAGCTAAATTGGCTAAAAAATAATTCGGGGTATAGATTTCAACAAGCTTGATAGTTTAGTGGGGTATTCAGCAGTTTGCCCTTAACAAAATGAACATCCATATAAACATTCCAATTACAGAGTTTGAACCCTTTAAACTCAAAACCAGTTAGACGAAGTACACGAAATTCACCTATCTAGAAAAGTACATAACCCAAAATAGACAACCAATTACATAGTTTGAGCCCTTCAAACTCAAAACCAATTAGACAAAGTACACAAAATCCTCCTGCCCAGAAAAGTACATAACCCCAAATGAGTTTAAGGATTATCACTATTCCACCATTTTGTAAGATTTTAGTGCTGTTTTAAGATGATTATGAACTCCTCTTAGTCCTTTTTCACTAAATCTATTGCAAAGTTTTCTTTTTTCCTTAAGTTCTGTTTTCTTTCTCAGTGACTTTGAGGAGTCTTTGTTTATTGTTTGTGCTTGATAAGGAGGATTGTTTATCCTTTTCTTTATCAATACAATGTTTCCTTTATAAAAAAATAAAATAAAATTTGTGAAGACAACTCTTTTTTCATGTTGGTAATTGTTGAATGTTTTGGAGTGTGAATTTTGGTTTCAATGGTTTAATAGTTTAGGAATGTTATATGGTTTATGTGAGAATATATGTTGTGAGCTTGATTTATAGGATGTGAGCCCTGTTTATAGGTCGTGGGCCCAATTTATGGTCATGCCTCGCAATTCAAGGGTCACGACTCACAAGCTCATTCTTAACATCACTTGTATATTTAAAGTGCTTGTTTAAAACCTTAGTTTGAAATCCGGAATTGAAATCCATAGCTTAAATTTGTTTTGCCAAAAAAGTGGATTTCAAATGCATGGATTTGAAATCCAAATCCAAATCTAAATCCATGATCCCAAATAGAGCCTTAGATGCTACGTGCACCGATACACCACTAGATAGAAAGTATGCAAGTACCAGGCAAGCATTTGATACTTGCCCAATACGCCTTCCATGCGTATTGGATACGCGAAATGAAGTATCGTGGACTTTTCAGCTAAGTTAACTTTCTGATACGTCTCCGATACACGAAGGACATGCGCAAGATACGGTCTCGATACGGTCAAGGGGATTATTTTACAAATATTTGAAACCTTGGTCGTTTTTGAAAAGAAAAATAATATGTAGGGTGAAAAGGTAAATTGTGAAACCTGATATTGTAAAACACAAGTCGACTTGGCTGGGTTTTAGTTTGTTTGAGCGGCTGCGTCACTCTCTGCTCTGCTCAGATCCATTCCAACGAAAGGGAAAGAAAAAGAAGAACTGAAGGAGGAAGAAGGAAGAAGGAAGAAGGAGGCGACTCGACCCAACCAGTGGCAGCAACGGATTTTCTTTGGTTTGTATCTTGCTGCTGTAGAATTGCATCTTCTATTCTTCTTTTCTTTGATTTGTTGATTCTTCTTTGGTTTGCATCTTGCTGCTGTAGAATTGCATCTCTTTCCTTTTCTTCTTTTCTTTCGGTTCAGTTTACTATCTTCGCCTGTCACCTTTTGGTTCAGTTATTAATTGATTGTATCCCCAACATTTATGTCTTGTTGCTGTGTTAATTAATTACTTGTATGATTCTTGAGATGTATTAATTCATAGTTGTTTTCAAAATGATTTTTTGGGACAGGAAAATGAGTAGTAATTTGGGGGATGAGGGCAATAGTTCTGGTGGTGGGAATACTACTAATAACAATAATGCTAATTTTCCATTGTGGAAATATGTCACCAAAAGTGTGAGAGATGGAAAAGCCGGTGGCAATACTGCATTTCAATGCAATTATTGTCAAAGGACTTTCAAAGGATCATACTCTAGAGTTAAGACTCATTTGTTGAAAATTGAAGGGTATGAAATTGCTTGTTGCTATAAAGTTACAAATGCTCTTTTAAGGGAAATGGAGAGAGTAGTAGAAGAAGTGGAGTTGAGAATTTATATTATTTTAATTGCCGTATCAGGCCATACCCGTATCCTAGTGTTTGGAGATTTGCCCTATCGGCATACCCGTACTGGTATGGTACCGGTGCAACATAGCTTTAGATGTTTTTTCTGCATCAGAAAATCGAGTGCATGTGTGTGTATTTTTTTTTTCATCTTTCTTGTTTCCTTATTTTAAGAAATTTGTAGGTATAGTAAGTTAAATTAAATACCTAAATCTCCGAGGAGACTTCAATTTTTAATGAATTTTCTCTGACAACATTTTCTGCACAGCTGGGCGGAGCATAAAAGAAGCTTGTTGATTTGGTTGAAAGTAAAAGCTACTGATAAGGAATGGCTGCAGCTTTAGCTTCAAAGTGTTCACGCGGTATGTGATTTTGCATAGGGGTTTTCGAGTAATCTATTTGTACTATTTGTGTCACTTGCTCTATTATTGGATTCTAATTTCATTGAATTAGTGTTAGGAAAAGCTGTAGAAACTTTCACTTTTCCTGGATCAGTAGTTTGTCTGGTATAGACTGCTTGCTCCTGGCTGGATAACTAATGTAAAATAGTTGAGTGGATCTGAAAAGATGCCACAAATTTGTTCTTTCATCATTTTTGTGGTTCTCTTGAGTTTCATATTTTAATTGTGCCAGTTTCCTGGATTAAATATAAAGTAAATTTATAAATATAAGCTCTTTTAGTATCTGTTATGCAATTATTCTCTTACCCATTTACTTCAATCTTCTGGAAACAAACCTAGTGGGTCGCTCAATGTTGGGGGGGCTTGGCAACAACTCGTCTGGCTTATTGAGCACGTCACATGAGATGACATGCAGCACTTTCTTGTCTCAGGTCAGTGTGTGTTGAAGTTAATACTTAATGGTAGTGTTTTATGTTTTGAATATATTTTTGGATTATTAGCAGCCATGAAAAAGTACCGTGTGTGACACACTAGAGCAAGGAAAAAGTTATCCTACCACTCTATTGAAGTGGTTGGTGAGAGAGACATGCGGTAGTGTGTAGCGTTAGAGAACAGGAGTCTATTCTTAAGTGCAAAATGTGTAAAATGAGAAGTTTGGAGAGAGTAAAAGATTCCTCATATTGAATAGAAGTCGAACTCAGAGAGTATTGCCTTGTGCCTTTCCATTTGAGTGCTAGGCTTAGTCCAAATTCCAACAGTGTGTTCAGCTAAAATTTCTTGGAAGATTACAACTGTGATTAGGAAATATATTCATTGAATTTTTAGTAGGATGGTTTGGATTGAAGTGAAGGTCTAATCTTATGATTACTGTTTGGTTTTCATACAAAATGTTTTTGCTGGATGTTTAAAATCTTGAATATTTTTGGTTCTAGAGAATTGAGAGTTTCTTGAAGCCTTGCAGTGACACCCTTTATAGCATTGTTTAGAAGAGTCGACAAAAAAAGCTTGTTTTGACAGGCTCAAATGGAGAATCTTGGTGCTATTTCTGAGTGCAATGGATGAACGGTGGCACTGTTAATTAATTCCAAGTTGTTCTTACTCATTCTCGTGTTAATCTTCTTTTTGGCTAAATACCTCAAATAGTAAACTGTTTATTACTTTGTATTGACATGAGCTTGATTTGTTGTTTTTGTCCACTTTTACAGCAGCAAAGGACCTTCATACAGATGAGGACTATTCTCAAAGTGGTGGACAACTCAGGGGCGAAAAAGGTGATGTGCATACAAGCTTTGAAGGCAAACAAGAAAGGGGCAAGATTGGGAGACACAATTGTTGCATCAGTAAAGGAGGCACATCCCAACGGGAAAGTGAAGAAAGGACAGGTTGTGTATGGCGTGGTTGTTCGTGCTGCCATGCAACGAGGTCGCTGTGATGGGAGTGAGGTCAAGTTTGATGACAATGCTGTGGTGCTTGTTGACAAGCAAGGGCGGCAGCCGATTGGGACTAGAGTATTTGGACCCGTCCCGCATGAGTTGAGGAAGAAAAAGCATGTCAAGATTCTTAGTTTGGCGGAGCAGATTGCGTGAAGTGTCAAGCACACGACAAAATACAGATGGACAATAAGAACAGAATGCTTATCTGAAGTGATGAGGTGTTAAAATTTTAGAATATCCAAGTGATCGGAATAAAGTTTGGTACTACGATTAGGTTTCAATATTTTTGAATATTGGGCATATTGGCCAAAGATTGAGTAATTACATCTTCTGCCCTATTTCAAAAATAGAAGAAAAATGATCTGTTCATTGTAATCGTTTTCATTCCGAGTGAGATTGAACCGAGCGCATAAAGGTGGTTTTTTTAACCATTCTTTTGCTCAATTTTGTAAGTTGGGCCCCTTCCTTGAAAGAATGTAGATACTCTTGTTAAAAATCAAAGTGCTTTTTGAAAAAGCACTTTTAATTTTTCTGTTAAACTTTGTTAAAACAACTTCTAAACAGGCCATTGGTTGATCTTGACAGCTGAAGTAACTTTAGGGGAGAAATAAAGGGTCGAAACTCTATAAAATAAAAATTAAAAATTAAAAAATAGAGTGATCGATTTTATGAGACGACAAATGCGTAAGCAACTTACCGCAACATACCATTTGAGTTGTTAGAGTCCATATTTGCCGACTTCATTTGCAATTGCGTACTCCCTTGTGGTGAGTCGCGTAAGTGACTCTTCCAGAACAATCCAAGGGCGCACTTCCCCCACCCAGCTACAGCTGACCCAACTAAATGCAATTTGCAACTTCTTTCACACACGGGCCTTGTCCACGTGGAATGAGTGTTCACACCAGAAGTGAAAAAAAAAATAGAAAAGAGAAAAGAAACGCGGAATGAGTGAAGACCCCTTTTTTCTGCAAATCCCAAACGTAACAATTTTGTCATCCCAAATGTGCAATATTATTTCCTGTTTTGAAATTAAATAAATATTTTATATTTTTGTGTCCATTTTTTTTGTGCTTCTTTCTATTTATGAAAAATCGTTCTAGTATTGGAGGAATAAGTTGAAAAGAAACGACCCTTTATATGATTGGATCAAACGACGATTCGTTTACGATAATCCAATCAATCGCATACTTTTTTCCTCTTGTTGTAGAACAAAACACTATTTTATTTTATTTTAAAGGTGAATACATTAGGGGTAATTTACTTAAATGTATCATTAGATCCCCGTTTTTAATTATAAATGCGGTTGGTAAAAGTTTAGATGTAGGGCACTCATTCTGAACCTGATAATTATCAATTTTTGAAAATTTATATTTCTCTTTCTCTTTTTCCTTCCAGAAGATTTACTTCGGATTTGAACTCCCTTTGTAGCCCAACAAAGCCAGGGAAAAGAAAAAGACTGTGGAGTGGCATGAAACAAAGAGATGTAGCACGCGATGCAAGACACGTACACAACCCCACTTCATTGCACCGACTAACCCATTCTGCCCAACTGCCATCTGTCTTTCAAGTGATAGTCTAAAATAGTCTAAATTAATCTAATTTATAAGAGTAAAGATTCAAATTTGAGTGCATAAGGTTAGGTAAGATCACTGCTTTAGCTAACTGGCCTAACTCATGTATGTTTTTTTTTTCTTCATACAAATGATATGTTTTTGATTAAGTTTAACCACTTGAACTACTACAAACCCTTCTTAGTTGCCGCTTGATAATTTACTTTTGAATACAAACGATCATCTAAACTAAAAGAAATGAAATTTCTTACACACACATAAATAATGCCATAAAAATTCCAACATAGGACTCTTATCTACAAGTCATGGTTCTTTCACTCGCCTTGACCCAGTTGGCATACTTTCCCCTGATGAGAGAGAAAGCCTCATTTATTTTGAAAATGCCATCATTCTTTCCCACTTCGCCACTTAAATCACTCCTCCCCTCCCCTTATATAAAACACAATAATACCTCCTCCACATCCCATCCCATCCCATCCCACCCCACTACAAATCCCATATTCTATTTTTTTTCTCTCTCTCTCTCCTCTTGAGTCTTGAAAAAAGAAAAGAAAAGAAAAGGAAAGAAAGTGAAAGGAAAATGGGAGCAATGAGGGTTTGGAGTGTGCTTGTGGTGATGGCGGTGGCCCTGGCAACGTTTGGGGAGTGTGGGTCGTCACACCACGCGGCTCCGGCGCCGGCGGTGGACTGCTCGACCCTGATCTTGAACATGGCGGACTGCTTGTCCTTTGTGTCCAATGGGAGCACCGATACAAAGCCCGCAGGGACTTGCTGCAGCGGCCTCAAGACCGTCCTCAAAGCCGACGCTGCCTGCCTCTGCGAGGCCTTCAAGAGCAGCGCTCAACTCGGCGTCGTTTTGAACATCACCAAGGCCGCCTCCCTCCCCGCTGCCTGCAAAGTCTCTGCTCCTTCTGCCACCAACTGTGGATGTCAGTTTTCTCTTCTGGATTTTCCCCATTTTTCCATCTTTTTTTCTTCTGTTTTAAACCAGTTTTATGAGATTTAATGGCTAATATTTAATTTTATTTGTTTGTTTTTTTGGTTGGTTTTGTCGTTTTTCAGTATCTATCACTCCTGCAGGTGCTCCTGGTATGTTCTTATTCTTATCTTAATATAGCTTTCAGATTGATCTGCTTTTTCTTTATTTTTTTATTTTTGTATAATTAATTCCAGACTAAAGTATTGGGTTTAATTATATTATATATCTATTCTTCTGGGATTTCTCTGATCTATACACGGCTGTGCTCTGTGCGGAAGAAAACCATGTCTTAAACTTGTGTGTAAGAAAAGAAAATGAGGGAAATAATCTTTAAATTGATCAATTCATTTGCGGAGGGGGTTTAGTATAAACTTGATCTTCATTGTTACTATGAACTTCCAGTTGAATACAGAAAATATATTGAGTTTGGATTTCAATGTTACTTTCTCTATTTTGTTAGACAGAAACTTGTGATGTGCCAAATGAGTTATTTCCATTTATTTGTTTCTCACACTCAAACTGGCATTGTCAATGTTTAAATGTCTGTTTTTCGATTTTCGGCTTGCAAGATGAATCGAACTAAATATGTTTTGTTTGTCATGACTGTCATTGTTCTTATTCTCTGGTTTCCTCATTTCGTTGAATCTGATTCTAGACACCATTGTACATCACTCCGACACTAATCCCTACACCACCGGTCTAACTTGGGACTAACTGATAAGGTTTTCTGTCTGGTGTTGCAGGTCTCTCGCCGGGATCTTCTCCAACATCATCTGTTGCTGCTACACCCGAGTCGTCTGCTGGAGGGAACGAGCAAGCACCTGCTTCTCCGCCAGGGGCCTCGGGTTCTCTTATGCTTGCCAGTTCAGTTGGATCCCTGCTTGTTGGTCTTGTAGTTGCATCATTCCCTTGTTTCTGAGAGCTGAGTGGTGCCATTTTTGAGAGCTGAGAGGGATGATATAAGTAAGAGAGTTGTGATGTTCATTTTACCATTGGGGAGTTCTCAGTTTAGTTGTTTTTGAGGTGTGACTGAAGTTAGATTTGACATCTGTTTTGGGGTCACTTGAAACCTGTATTGATAGTTTGGTTGGACATCTTTTTCCTAATTTATTAGTCTATTTCTTCGTATAATTTTGTGCTCCATTTTGATTTGAAGTTCGAACTTAAAAGAATTCTTGTGCTATGAGCAATGAGCATGTTGCAATTTGTAAACCACGCAACACATTGTGCAATGCATTCGATGGTATATCTGTTTCATTCTGAACACTGCGTAGAAGAGCTGAAAAAACAGACATTTTTGTGGCACCCTTCTTTTGAAGTGATTATAATATATTTCAGTAGTATGGTTATGTGGTATATCTTTTTAGGTGCTCATAAGAGCACTTCCACCCACAAGGGCTAAGTCTAAGCCAAGGGCAAGCAAGGGCTGTCAGCCTTTGCATTTGTGGTTCCACCCATGAGAGCTAAGTCTAGGGCAAGTCTAAGGCAAATACTATTCATATGAGATATGAGGAGATGAATTTGTATATAGTTTTTGGTGTGGAAAGTAAAGAATATGCCTAGGTATTTATTTAAAAAAATTCTGGAATTTATGGTATTTTTTTTCATTTTTTTTGGGTTGCTGACGTCATTATGACGTCAGCATTGCATCAGTTTGCCCTGGCAGCAGCTCATGCTGAATTTGCCCGTGGACTTGCTTGGGCTCGTGGGACCCAGCTCTTGCCAGGGCTGGCCCTTGCGCGCTGGAGCTGCTTCCTTCCCCCCTGGGCTGCCTTTTGCCCGGTTTTGAAGCAAGGGTGGACTTGCTCTAATCGAAACCAATCAGTTGGAGCGTTCCAAGAACTATTGAATTAACACAGAAATTCAAAGATCGACCATGAAATCAAATTGACTTTCTTCCTTCAATTAAAAATGAAAAATTCATTTTGTTTTCAGTTATAATCTTCACCCAAAAAAAAAGAAGGTAATAAATCAATTATTTGCCTTAAAAATAGAATAAATCAATTTGGGCCTGGAGTTTCTTTTGAACCGAAGGAGAATATTGAGCCGCAGAACAGAACATTTACATACCCAATAAGTACGTCAAGGGGCCACGAGTTTTTGGAGAAAATTGGGCCCGGGGTTTTAGTATGGATTTAGAATAGTTTTCGTCTACCTTTCAAACCTAATAACAAAACAAGAGTCGTTCTAAAGTGAGAGTGACATATATGTACTATAGATGTGAACCTCCATATATGACACTCACTATAAAATTTAGCAACAAAACAAAGCCACTTCCATAAAATTTTAATATTGCTATACTTTTATTATTATTCTTTAAATGATTTTGCAATGTCTTTCTCAAATCAAGAGGTCTCGTGCCGGAGACATTCACAAATGTAACAAGTCTATTGGTTATATGATTCCTAGTTCGAAGAGTATTTGAAAAAGAAAAGCCATGGAAATTAGTACATAAAAGAGTAGATATTATCAACAAGTCGTCTTAGAAATCTATCCACCAAAAAAACCATAAGCACCATTCCAAACGTGTCCCCCTCACAACAAACATTATTATTGGTTTGGGATATAGAATCCAAGCATCGTGCCTATAAAGGAGCGGCATATTTCTTTCGGCCGAGCTCTAATTTCTTTTGGTCAAACGCGCTATTGACTTTTTTTTACCAAAAGAAAAAAGTTGGGAGAAAAAAAAAACCAATGGCAAGAAGACAGTTCATGATTCACCGCTGACCAAACAGGAGCATAGCTCGATGGTTATTAGGGGAGAAAACGCGTTTTGTTTGGGAGTTACCGCTGATTCTGCATATTCAACCGCTTTCTTTTTCCGAGTATTTTTTTTATTTTTTATTTTACTCCTCGTGCTCTTATCTCTATATAAGTTCTAAAATACGGGATAATATTATTGTAGCATACACTATAATATTATTTCTCGTGCTCTTTTTAAATGAATTAAATTTGTCGGCGAGTATCATATTGTTTTGACATGACATTTATAAAAAATTAATATTATGTCGATATTATTAATATTGTTCACAAGTGTTATTTTGAAGCAAACGTGAGTTAGGTCAGTTAATCAAGATAGTGCATCCCACGCATTCGCCAAAATTCAAGTCTCTTTCCACATAATAAATTAGATTAATTTAGACTATCACTTGTATATAAAATAAAATAAAATAGTGCTATTTGACAATAATAATAGTGTTCGAAAAACATTTCCCATGTAAAAATGTTTAAACTATGATATTACTCCCACTATATATTAAGCTTAACCCACCTTACTCTCTCCCATGCATTCCCAAAATCCATTGCTAGAATCATAACTTGGATTCAACGCCATGAACTTTTCGCTGACTTCAAGCCTAAACAGTGTAGCTCTACCTAAACCTTTTCTTCACCACCATGAACGCAAACCCACTATTAAGCTGTCTTTAATTACATGCAGATCAGCCACTAATTACAAGTCATCATCTACTTATAAGGTGAAGGATGGAGAAAATGAGAGCACCAATTTCTACAAGCTGCTTAGTCTAAATCCCAATATTAATACAAGCAAAGATGAGATAAAGAAAGCTTATAGGAGCATGGCTCTTCGATATCATCCAGACGTTTGCCATGATCCTTCCATTTCTTCCACCAAGGAATTTGTTCGACTGAATCAGGCTTACAAGACGCTATTGGATCCGGTGTTGCGCAAAGAATACGATTACGAATTGGGTTTGGAAAATTGTGTTGGTACTACTAGGGTTGGTTTCAAGATGAATAATATAAGAAACCATGGTGTTGGTGCAGCACAAAATAGATGGCGACAACAAGTTCTTGAGTTGAAGAGGAAGTCCAACTGCCGTATGGCACAGAAGGAAGGGTCGTGGGCAAGCAGAATGAGGAGGGCTCATAATATTTCTAACATGGACTAGTTTTGCTTTTGCACGAGATATGATTTTAGCACTCCAAAAATTACTTCTCACCCTTCTCGAAGCTCTCAAACACGACAAGTGTAAGGGGATTTAAGGGTTGTTTTTGGAGTGCCAAAATCATTCTTGCTTCTATAGAATTCATTGAGCTTCTCTGATTGTTTTTTATTTGATGTAAACGGGAACTTTTGATCCTTTTTCTATGTTTTGTCTCTATTAAAATTTCATTTAATTAATTGATTCTGTAACATTTTTCTGCGGATTATGTACTTGCTTAGGATTTATCAAAATTTCATTTAATAAATTGATTCTGTAAAAGTAGAAAAACACAAGTCATAAACGGATATTGCAAGTCTCGGTTCAAAACTCTGAATCACTCTCTCCGCAACTAATTTTCATAATAATATTTCAAGAAATATTATGTGACGTTGGCATCGGAGGTTCCTTGGCAAGCACCACAACTGGAACTATAAATTCTAATATGAGTCTAAAGATCCATGGAAATGTTTAAGATTTAATTGAGGTCTAATATGATCTCTTGCTTCCGTTGCTTTCTTTGCAATTTTTTTAATTGTTAGTGGCTTAATGAACCTTGTAAACTAAGATATCCTTCATCCAGTTTTAGCAAGGTGGAGTGGAGATTTCTCTCATATCAACACAACTTACAAGATGGAGACTCAAACCCTATGGTGATCATGGCTAAAGTCTATCTTATATACACAACCACACACTTATGAAAGGAGAAAACCTATGGTCGAAAATGGTGGTGTTGGGTCTTCCTTTGGGCTCATTTGAGTTGTTGTCATACAACACTCAATCCTTAATTAGGCCTGATAGGTATTTAGGCTTTATCATTTTTAGCTAATTGTACTTTAAAGTCAAATTAGAGTTCACCGTCAAACTAATTTCACGATTAACAATTTAATCATGATTCATGACTTAGTAATAAAGAGAATAACGAATGGAAAGAAATGAACGTTTTGGATCCGTATCAATGGCCAATTTCCGTTAGAACTTAGAAGAGAAGATTCCATGGGAACAAAATGGTGTACTACGAGCACACATAAGATAAAAAAGCTACTCGTGAGTTTTGCAAGCCGAACATACTAAAGCTCAAGCTTAGCTTGTTTTGTTTATATTACAATTGAGCCATGCTCAGACAAGCCAAATTCGAGCCAAGCCCTATACGAGCTCGAGCTTTATGGAGTCACTTGACAACCTTACTTAAGATACAATTTCTTTCACAATTTGGCATGCCTTACTTATAGGTTGAACCATTTAGTCTACCCTCTATCTCGATATCCTAATTCTAGCAGTCGTTAGCAGAAGTAGAGATAGGGGGAGGTAGGAATGGACCTTCAACCCTAGGCAGAAAGAAAAAAACTGCTAGGCAGAAAAGGAGATGGGAAGAACAAAAGGAAAAATCACAAGTATATAACTTTGTAGTCATTTGTTGGAGAACCTTCAACACTGGCTTGTGGATCGAATTCATCAAGGTTCTTCGTGATGGGGAGCAAATGTAAGGATTGCATCTGCAACTGAAAGAAAAATCTTGCCCTTTCCAATCAATTCAACAAATTCCGATGCATGGATCTTGTCCATCACCACTGTCCCCGGATTTGCTAAAGCAAGCTGTAAAATAACCAAAATTAAATTTGCATCATCAACTCATAATTTCTTTTGTGAAATTTATTTATTTCCTAGCTAGAATCCCAAGCCTAGGCAAGTGTGGTGACTGAACTTGGATTTGATCACATTGGATTGAAGAGGATAATATTAATTCAATGATGTGTTTGGCGTGCTACACATAATTAAGGGACTGGATTAATTGAAGTATACCCTAATAGGAATACACATAATCGATCCCACTCAACTTTCCACCTCTTTGGTGGGATTGATAATCCTAGTACAGTTGGGTGTAGCAGAATTAAACATACTCTAATCCAGGTTGTTTTTAGGCCACCAAGGACCTCACTAGAATTGTAAATTCTATGCACTCATATAATCCAGCGCAACAAACGAACCTTAACTTAGCAATATTATCGCATTAGTTAATTTTCAGCTAGCATGCCTAACTTCATACCGAAGCCACTTCTAAATTGCAGTAAATTGTAAGAAATGGATTTACCTCAATCTCTCTCTTCTGAAGACTTCTGTATAACTCTTCCAAGGCATGAATGCCACTAGTGTCGATGTCAGTGACAGCTGAGAAAGATGAAAAGAAATGAATTAATAATAAACCAAAAATGGAGCTTAATATTGTAAGGTTGAGTTGTGGAAAAAATTAGAATTCACATACGTGACATTTCCACAATAAGGTGCTCGATTTTGGGTAGACTCTTTTGCTTTAGTTGTTCTTCTTCGTCTGTGACCCATCTTAATATTCTGCAACAAATTAGTTAGTTAGCGTCAATTAGTACTCTTGTTAGACGTAATGTTGCTAAATTATGAATCTGGATCAAGATTCAGGAGAGAACTAATATGATCGATGATCCAGATTCATAGTTTGCCAACGTAAATGCACATGCAAATTAATCTATGCATCCGTAACATACATACCTCTCTTTGATGTAGTTGGAGTTGGAGAAATAAATTGCAGAGTCAACTCTAATAATGAGAATGCCTGGAATTTGTGTGGCATTGGGATACTGTAGAATGTTTCTGTATACATTAGTCCTGGGGAGCTTCCCAAGCAGCGCGGTCCGTGGCCTTGTGACTTGCAAGAGAATTTTGGCAAAGGAAATGGAGACAGCGATCAAAAGACCGATCTCCACCGAAATGAAAACGACTCCGAAGAAGGCTCCCATGCAAGCTACAAAGTCAAGTTTGTCGATCTTCCAGATGAGCTTCATGGCCTCGAAATCGATCAAGCCAATCACTGCGGAAATGATGATGGAAGCGAGGATGGCGTTGGGTGTGTACTTGAAGAGGGGCGTAATTAGTTCCAGAGTAAGAAGGACCACCAGAGACATGATGATGTTTGAGACCGCCGTGTGGCAGCCGGCCATGTAATTGACGGCAGAGCGGGAGAAGGAGCCGGTGGCAACGTAGCAGGATGTCAAGGAACCAATAATGTTCATGGTTCCCAATGCCACCATTTCTTTGTTTCCATCCAGCTGATAGTCCTTCATCCCAGCAAATGTTCTTCCAATTGCAATAGCTTCCTGCAAAGTTGTTCAATGGACACATGTTCAATATAATTATGTGTTGCATCAAAGTTAATTTGATCGCTGCAAGCTTACCGTCAAGGCTATCATGCCCGCCACAACACCAATCCTGAAGCCTTTGATAACGTTGTCTCCAGTGAAATAAATTAAATCAGCAGAAGCTGGGTTTATGCCCTTCCTTATTTTACTCACCTGAAATAACAGAAGGATTAATATATGTTTATGTGACAACTGAGAAAACTTAAATGTACATTAAAAACAGGAAAAGCTACTCACAATTGCAACACCTTCCTTGTCTGCACGGGTGATATAAACAAAAAAGGTGGAGACAATAACGGAGATCAAAGGTGCAATTGCAGGCACCCAAAACAATTTCGTCTTCTTTTTACCCTGCATCAGTATTCGCATGCTCGAATAAATTAATTAATCCATGATTAATTAGTGAATATATAATTTTTTTTATAAAAAAAATAGACTTACGATGTACTTGGTCAATAGAAGAAAAGCCAAGAATGAGACTCCAATTAGTATCGTCTGCCAGTTCCACTGTAAGATTAAAACAGAGCGGCAAAATTAATATGATGTTCATCAAATAAATAAATAATCATTGACATGGTAATTAAATTATGAGTACCCCATGATGTGCAGCGGTAATTACTGAACGCATGACAGAAACAATATCAGTCTTCTTGGTGAAATTCTTGATGCCGAGTAATCCTTTAAGCTGTTGAAGGGCAATGGTAATGGCAGCTCCACCCATAAACCCAACAATGGAAGCATGAGACAGAAAATCAATCAAGAAACCCAACCTGGAAAATGCCATAGATAAATAAATTAATAAATTTTTAATTTTTATGCCCCGCATGTATATAAAATCATTGTGATATATATCAGTTCATATATACCTGCAAAATCCTAAAGTGAGTTGTGTGACTCCCGCAAAGAATGTAGCAGTTAAAGTAAGCCGTAGATAGTCATGGGCATCCTTAGTAGGATCAACCTCATTCTGCACCATAGTCCCAAGCAACAGAGACACCACGGCCACTGGCCCGATCGCAATGTCCCTCGAGCTGCCCATGAACGCGTAAACAAGAGGCGGCACGAAACTACTGTCTGCGTGACACATGACAGGCGTATTATTTTGTATCAATAAATAATCACATCGAAAATTTAAAGCCTTGCATAAATAGTACATAGCTACTGTCTGCGGGTCAGATGCTCTAAATCTATCAAATATAACTAACATAATGTAGAAAATTGAACAGGGAAAGGATTAGAAGCACTCACATAAGCCATTCTGACCAGGCAGATAGGCAAGCTTTGCATATCCAAGATCCTGAGGAATGCAGAGGCTTGCAATGGTAAGTCCAGCGATCAGGTCTCCTCTGAACTTAGTAAGGTTGTAGTCCCTGGCCCACCGAAGTATGGGGAAAATGGCTTCAAGGCCAAGCACAAGCTTCCTCCTCTTTGTTTGGTCTTTGAAAGGACGCAAGGGCTCATCCGAAAAGAAAGTTTCTTTCACGGTCGCACGGAATTCCTTGCACAGGTTTTGCTTTGCCGGCACTCCAACTTTATGAACCTGATGCTGATGAGGATATGGCTGCTCCTGCTGCAATGTCGGATTAACTTGCCGATTCGACGAAGGTCCGCTTCTGATGTCCTCCTCCTTTCCCACCTCATCGTCGTCGCTGATTCGCTTACTCATTGTGCTCCACTTCTACAACGAAGCTCCCCTGTTACAGTTCAAACACAAATTTAGAGCATAGAAATGTCAATGAACATAACGATAAGATTCATTAAGTCAAGTCGTGCAAGCCAGAACGTATATGTTCTAGC